CAAGGTCAAGGCTTCCTCTGTCCACCTCATCTTTGTCTTTTATGGACATTATCAGGTCCATCTCACATACATTCAGAGTCTAAGACTTGTAGGATCATTGATGAATGCCAAGGCATGAATATAAAATGTACTCATCCACAAATGCAAGTGGCCTTGATCTAGCCAGTATCAGCTCTGCAGTGTAGCTCTGTGACTTTCTCCTTGGTATGTCTCGTCTGTTAATGCTTCTGATGTCGTTAACAATTGCCTATGTGGGGGAAAATCAGCTACCTTCTGGTTCTGGTGGTGAAAATCAAATGTGGGTTATATATGCTAAGTAAATCTTTTGTGCTGACATACCAGTTTTACAGGAAAAGCTGTATGTTATAAGAGTGCGCACAGAGTTACAGGTTCAAGAAACTGTTCTATGCTTAGAAATGCTATGTTCTTTTACCCCGTGTGGTCAGTACTCTAGAATTCTTTGCATGACAGAGAAATGGTTTCTTGTGTCTGGAGATGATTAAATCTCTTGGGGTAACTAGCATACATATTCTTCTCTAGCAAGCGTCTTCCATTTTTTTTTTTTTTTCAAGACCAGTCCTGCCCCACTTAAGCTGAACCACCATGTTCTCTCTCCTGGGACTCTGAATTTTGGGACCAGTGATGTAATAATGGAAAGTAAGTTGAGTCATTTCAGTTAGACAAGAGTGTGTTGAGTTTCTGTGAACCTCCCTGGCTCCCACAGAGAGGCCCAGTTGACCAGCTTTTCTTTCTATCCACTGACCTCTTGTGTATCCTCCTCTCTGCTTCTGAGTTAGAGAGAGCCTGTCTCTGTTGGTCTAAGCCAAATGCAAGTGGATGTACATTTTGATCAGCAGGTGGGATAGGATGCGGCTCAAGATGGTGCAGCCTTGGGAAGGCCAACAGAAAAGGAAAGGGGAGAAGCCTTACTGTGTGCTGGCTATTTTCTTTTTTTTTTTTTTTTTTGGGTCCAGTCGTGGGGCCTGAACTCTGGGCCTGGGCGCTGTCCCTCAGCTCTTCAGCTCAAGGCTAGCGCTCTACCACTTGAGCCACAGTGCCACTTCCGGCTTTTTTCTTTTTGCTTATGTGGTGCTGAGGAATCGAACCCAGGGCCTCATGCATGCAAGGCAAGCGCTCTACCACTGAGCCACCTTCCCAGCCCCTATTTTCTTGTCTCGTTTCTCCCTTTCTCTTACATATTCCTGGGAAATAGTGCTTTCTACATTGAAGTAGTGTGGCTCACCCAAGTTCAGAAGCATCAGAGAAAGACTTAGTACAGGCCAGCCCTCTGCAGGCTCCACAGTACTATTTTCAATGCCAAGAGAAATCTGACAGATAGTGATCGCTGGGCTGTATTTTTCTGGTCCTTTCCATCCCTTGGGACTTAAAAAAAAGATCAAGGCACCAATGGCTAACTCCTGTAGCCTACTAGTAAGGCTGAGATAAGGAAGATCAAAGTTCCAGGTCAGCCCAGGCAGAAAAGTCTATGTCAATGGAAGAAGCTGGGCATGATGATGAGTGTTTTATCATTGCATATTAGGCTTCCTGTTTTAGGAAGCCTAAAGCAGGTGGATCACAGTCCAGGTTTGCATCTGGGCAGAAAGTGAGACCCTATCTCAAAAATAATCAGTACAAAGAAACCACAATGGCAAGAATTATATTTCAGTAGGAAGGGTGCTTGTTGATTTAGGGTCTGCTCTTTGGGCTTCTAATTAAATATCCTATTCACTCTAATATTTGTTGTGTGGTTCCTGGATCAGAGTCATTGCCACTAATTGCTTAGAAATGTAGATTCTTAAGCCTATTCTGGACGTGCAGATTTAGAATCTGAGTCTTATCGGCATCCCTGATTTTTTACACATCATAGTTTTGGGCAGTGTTGCATGGTATTGCTCTGGGTTTCCAAAGGAAGCAGTGGTTCACTAAAGCTCCACTTTCTTCAATCAAAGGGTCCTTCAGTGCTGAGGATAATCCCCATGTATTATGAAATTCAGGCTCTTTATGTTTTCAGTAAACCTTCACAGCTAATTAATTGTAGAGATTCTTGTCTATGGAGAATGGAAAACAATAAGCATGATCTTAATCAGCAAGTTTATTCATCATGTCTCCTTTTCAACATTTATACTCAGATTTTTGTTCTTTACAGCATACTAAGTTTTGAGGTGGCTTCATGGCTTTGTTTTCCAAGACACATGACTGTTTGTGTCTTAATGTGATTCAAGGTGCTTCCTCATGGATGGTATTGCCTCTTTCTCCAGTGTAGTTGGAAAAGGAAGACTATCTCTAGTTTCCACATTTCATAGGAGAGGGAAATAGGTTCTGGGGAGATGGGAGCATTTGCTCATCTCAGGATCTAAGCAAGCACCAGGCTCAGGGGAGGGTGAGAGAGGCATTGGGTCACAATAAGAGCCTGGAGCTACTCTGTGTAGGGTAAGCTGCCTCTCTCCCTCAGCAGTCTATGCACAGGTAGACAGCTGAGCCTCACCTGTGTGCACCCTGAGACAGAGGTCTGGGAAGCAGTGCATGAGTTAGGTCAGGCAGATATAATGGTACTGAAGGGGCCATTTTGAGAGAAAAGAGTTTCTAACTTATTCATTTCTAGCATTGTAAGTTTTTCAACGTATGCCTTGTGAAATAGCTATTACCACTGGCACTTTTACAGATGTGGAAGATGAGGCTAGTGGAGGTTAGAAATTCACCTCAGATCACACTAGACTAGGCCTTCACACACACAGCCAGTGCTGGTTGGTCTTATCCCCTGCCTTGCCAGCTGCCCAGGATTTCTGATTACCTTATGCCTAAGCTAAGGTCAGGCTCCAAGTAGCGGTGATGGCTGGGTTACAGAAAGAGATGAAATGGCCTCAGTTGTGTGTGGGAGATACACAAGGTAGAAGTGGTCGGTCAAGGTCACAAACCCAGAGGAGTGGCTCAAATGGAATACAGACACCAGATTTAGTGTTGGGACACTCACTGACTTGCTCCCAGACAGAGTGGGGAGAGAACTTCTCTGAATTGTGTTGGGGTCTAAGCAGAAAGGAGGGGGGGAGAGGGAGAGAGAAAGCAGAGAGCTCTCCTGAGGGAACTGGTAAAAGGTTGGAGAGAGACAGAGGACAGAGGTGGGAATGGAGCCAGATGTGAGGAGTGGCAAGCTCCGTCAGAGCAAAATAGCAGCTTCACCACTCATCAACCGGGCAAAGCACACACATCTGGCAGCGAGTGCTCCTACAGGTCAGGAATTAAAGCCTGGTTCTTTCCCCAGGGTAAGCCTGTCCTCAAGCACTCACACTTAAAAGCCAAAGAGCAAAACAGAGTTTGCAATTTGCCTATTTTGGTGACCCTCACAGCCAACCTCAAGGGTCATGTCTGACGTGTACCAACTCACCCCAGAGCATCCAGACTCCTAGCTGCCATTTCTGCCTTCACCTCCCCAACTCAGCCCTGAGCTTTTCTCCAGAACTTCCTGTTTGCCTCATCTGGCTCTACAGACCTACTGGTCCCACCCAGGGTCATCTGGAGGGTACTCAGGGCAATGGGGTGCAGGTCACTGGGCTACAAATCCTCTGGGCTTTACCACTCCTATGAGACCCTACAGAGAGAAATGAGAAATATTCTATATCCAAATCAATTCACAGGAAGGTCAAGGTGACCCAGAAGAACTTGCAAGGCCAGATTTTTTTCTTCATTTTTTTTTTCACCTTCCAAAAAGGCCAAACAAATGATGACTTCAGGACATGGCGTTCCAGAGAAAGTGGGAGAGGGACTGAGGAGATGGAGAAACATGGTGCATCCAGTCCGCATGAGGTCTTCCAGGCTCTCTAAGGCATGTTACGGTGCTCAAAAGGCCCACAGGTTCTCAGTCTGCAGAAGCCATAAAAAGGGACAGAATGCATGTTCCCAGAGGACAGAGACTGTCAACACTGAGGCTGGAAAAAGTCCAGCATGGGCCAGGAACATGTTGCTCCTACAAAGCAGAGTTTCCGGGCGGTAACACCACTGTCTAGAGGGCAAGGCTGAGGTCACCAGGGGCAAGGAGCAAAGATCTGTCTGTCCTGACTGGACTTGGGCTGTTTTCCACACATCTCTCCCTTCACAAGAGTTTAGACTTCCAAGGGGTCTCCATTGTCCAGTCTGTCACAGACTGGATGGGGAAAGGATGCTAAAGTGGTTAGGCAGTCTGTGCAGGAAAGTCTATGGAGTGCCAGCCTTGAGTGAAAAAGCTAAGGGACAGTGCCTGGGTCCTGAATTCAACCCCAATACCAGCTCTCTTTACACACACACACACACACACACACGCACACACACACACAAAGCTGGAAGTTGAACTGTAGAGTTCTCTTGAGTTCAGGCTGCCCCATAAGTTCAGGCCACCCTCCAAAAAGAAAAACCTCTTGTGATGTCATTGGCCACCCACCCTTTGAAAGATGAGTCTTGCCCCTATGCTGGGCAAGCAAGAAACTAGTCTTTAGGAATCCTTACGAGGAATGCTAAATCTTTGGCTCAAAACTCCTATGGAGAGAAAGATGTACATTGGGACAAAAACAACAGTAGCCAGGCATTGGTGGCCAATGTCTGGAGATCCCAGGTTCCAAGCCAGCCTAGGTAGGAAGGTGAGAACTAGGCTGTACTCAACAAACTGAGCTATGTTCAGCCTTGAGGAAAAAAATTCTCAGGAACATCACCCAGACACTGAGTTCAAGCGCCAGGACCAGCCCCAAACAAAAAACAAAATCCCAACCCCCATCTGACAACAATGACTTCATGGCCAGAGTTGGACCACCATGTACCACCACAGACCACCATGAGGAAGAGTGTTGTATCTTACTTAACAATTCAATACCATCCAGATCTTACCCAAGCCTGTCAGTTTAGAAACCAGTTCCCCTCCTCCTCCAAACCAAAACATCCAAGAAAACTTTTTTTCCCCAAGTTTTATTGAGATGTTGGGGGAGAAACAGCCCACATATACATTCTTCATTTCCGTCATTGTCTGTTGCTTTGATCTAACGTGAGGTCTCCTTGGCCGTCTCCCTCGTCATCTTGTTGCTGCCCCATGGTGGTCGAAGTTCACCGGGGCAAGGCTCTGTGGCTGGTCACAAATGGGAGCGATGCTTGTGATGGCCTGGTTGGGGGGGTGGGGGGGAGTGAGGAGGGCAGGTTGGCAACAAGGATCCTTTTCAGCATCTGCCCATTTCAAAGCTCGTTCCCACCCCCCACCCCCCACCAAACCCCACCCCAAACCAGGGGTGTGACCAGGGCCCCAGGGGCCTCTCACTCACCATCATCACCATGTTTCCTACATTTTAGGCTGACCTTCCGGCATTTTTTTTTGTTGCTGCTCCTTTTGACACCTTTGTGAGGAGATCGGTTCTTGGCCCTCCTCGTGCCATGACTCTTTGACTTACAGCTGGTCGACATTGCAATTTCTGCCAAAATGAGGGCCTTAGCGAGGCTGTGAAGCCTCTGCGTATTTAAGGCCTCCGCCTATTGTGACTGAGAAAGGGGCGTGGCTTAGAAGCTGGGCGTGGCAACGGGCCCTTCAGTACAGTTCAAAGGGGGCCTTCAGTTTGGGGAGGGTGAGGGGCTTTTAGTTTAAAGGAGGCTTTCCGGAGGGATTGTCATTGAACAATTCAATCTGGGCCCTGTGCTAGGCATGGGGGAGGGGAAAGAAGGGGGAAATAATACAAGTGATCATTAAAGTGTGTCTCCAGCTTGTAGAACATTTAAGTTATTGTGTGTGTGTGTGTGTATGTGTGTGAGAGAGAGGAGTGTGTGTGAATGATTGAATCTGATAGTAACAAATGTTATTTCCATAAGCACTGACTTGGAGAGCTGAAGCCATACCACCAAAAATATAAATTATCCTTCTCAGGGTTTCTCAAATCTTGCCATTTTAGACACCATGGGACTGGGTAAGTTTTGGTGGGTTGTCCTGGATATTGTAGGATTTGACAATAACTTCTGGCTAGATATTAAAGGGCAGAACATTGTCATATGGTACACTTTTTTTTTTGGTGGGGGGTTTCCTGGGGAAAAGGAAAATCACCATGACTAAGAACCATTGGCTTGATAATTAAAATGTAATCATATGTATTGCTTGTAATGAGTATCCCATGCTCCATGAACTTAGGTGCTAGGAAGAGTGGTAAAAAACAAGTATAGATCTTATGGACATAGAACTTTCACAAACTGGATAATTCCTTTGGTGGTTAGGAGACTGTGGGAACTTTACAAAATGGTACAAGTTGGAAAGGCTGACAGAGACCCAACTCTCCTCTAGTACATCGGAAAGCTCCAGAAAATGTTGAGAACACATGGATGTGATGAGAGACGGCTCTGTGAGTGATTATGCAGTTGGGAAACTGAGTGAAGGGAGAGGCTATGTCCACAGCAGGGCCTCAGGAGGAGGGACTTGATAGTGCTGTAGAACTGAGTTCAGGGGGTCTTTGGGATGTAGAGGTAGACAATGGAGTAAGTCTTAGGTTGGGTTGGGAGAGAGCAGATGATATAGAGGGCGTGGCTTTTGTTTCTGTGTGGTACAGCTATATGGATGCTTATGACACTGGCTAGGACAAGACCGGGAATGACAGTGATGATGATTAAGATGTACTACACTGGATTTGAAGTGCCTCTGAGATTTCCATGTATGCATAATGACAATTGAGTATATGAGTCTTGTAGATTTAGCCAACTTTTTCTTCTTCCTCTGTAACTATAAAAAAATCTTCAGTAGAACTATTCCTTATGTCCCTCGTTCTTTCCCCATTACTGTTTTCCTAATTTAAGAAAAGAACATCTCACATGCATTTGCTAGGCAACCATGCTACCGTTGAGCCATCCCTCCAGCCCTTGTATGTCTGGTATCTATAGATGTCAGCATATCTTTTGTATTCCAGATTCCTGCCATGGCCACCATGAGTGACACTTTTCCATGTTTCAAGCTCCTGCCTGTTGGTGCTTTTATTATAAAGAGGGAGGGGGCTTTACAAAACAGGCTCTTGCCTTCCTTGAATCTCAGGAGAGCTCCTGTCCAATAGTTTGTTCCTCCTACAAGTAAGTTCCAAAGCAGGGACTTCCATAAAGTCAGGAATTTAGGGATTGTATTCACCCCTGTGTAGCTCTGCATACAGAATAGGATCTTTGTGGAATACATTTGTTGAATAAATAAAAAAGAACCTTTCCCTTCCTTCCTTCCTTCCTTCCTTCCTTCCTTCCTTCCTTCCTTCCTTCCTTCCTTCCTTCCTTCCTTCCTTCCTTCCTTCCTTTCTTTCTTTCTTTCTTTCTTTCTTTCTTTCTTTCTTTCTTTCTTTCTTTCTTTCTTTCTCTCCTATTCTCCTCTATTTTGCCCCATAGTTCCCAGGAAGACTTCTACTCACCAAATTTACTCAAAATCTATTGTCCCCGTAACATTGGCCATCAAGTCTAGTTAACAAACTCTTAATTGTGGGAAACCCTATTTGGTGTCCGGATTACTATGTATATTGCAATTAGTCTCAACAAGAAGTGATGTGTCTTAGTTCTGTTCCTAACTAGACTTCCTTGGTTTATAAATCAGCAGGCTGAACTAGATGGTCCCTGAGATGAGTCGGCTCTGGTGGTGGTGGTCTCATAGTTAGAGATGGGTTCTTTTTTCCTTCTATACTTCCTACAGATGGTAGCATGAACTACAGAAGATGGTCAGTAAATATTTGTGCAGTCTAGCCACTTTGGTGTTTTATAGGAACAGAGAGTCCAATCCAGTCACAGATTGACTGTACAAGTGGCAGCATTTCTGAACAGCAAAAGAAGGAAAGGAGATTGTCTTTCCATCTTACTCCTCTGGTGCTCACCTCTGATATCTGACTCTGCAGGCTAAACTGCTTCAGAGGAATTGGTCTTTCTGGCTTGAGAGACGTTTTCTGGGTGGTCCTAAAGATTGTATACTCTCTGGTTCCTTGCCGCCTCCATCCCCCTACCCCCCAGACCTGCAAGGAGAAGCTGAGATCACAGGCAAGAAGGCAGAAGGATTTGAGAAATGATGAAGAAACAAACAAACAGAAAGGTCTCCTTTGCTCAGTTGAGCAGAGGTCCTGGTGGCAGACACCCATGCTGAGAAACTTGAGCTGTAGAAAGCCCCGTGTGGGGAGCCCATTGAGAGGCCAAGGAAGGGTGAGGCTGGGGGAGTATTTGGGTTGGCTCTTGTATTGGACCTCCTGGGGTGAGGACGGAGCAGGGTTGAGTATCAGCCACTTCTGCCGGCTCTGTTTCTCTTTCCATTTCTGCCCCATGAGCCAACAGGCAATTTAGATGGAGTACTATGAGCTCACTCTTGACTCTTAGCAAGCCCAGAGTGAGCTCTTTCCTTAAGAGCCATCTGTTAGCTTGATAGGATATACCCACTGTCCCCTTACCTTCTCTTCTTTATTCTTTTCATGTGAAAGTAGGCACAGAAAGGCACTGGGGCTATGTAAGTAACTCAGTAGAGGAGGAGAGGCAGCCCAGTCAACATCACCTTACCTAATGGAAGCTAGCTTTTGTTCCTTCTTGTGGATTTTCTTCTGGTTTTAGATTTGTTTCTGATTAATTGACATGGATATTGTTTGATAGTTGTTGGCAGAAAGAGAGGTGGGAGGGAGGGAGAGGCAGTGTTTCTAGCCTTTGTAGAAGTTACCAAGTACTGAGTTCTTGGGGTTGAGTGTTGTCTTGCTAGGCCCAGGTAGATGGACTGCATGGTGTCTTTATCTCCTAAGAGGACAGCCAAAGTTTCACTGCAAGGAAGGGCTAGGAGGCCAATTCTTCTAGAATAGGGCTGGCCCCATTCTTAGGTTAAAAAGGGCAGGCACAGGGTGTAATTATTTTGGAAGTCAGACCTCTAGTTGGAGCCTGTCTCACCTCTCCAATTCAAATTCACTCTATTAATTTTCCTGAGAAGCCCCATAGACAGTTTCATGGGGTTGGATCTGCCCAGCAAGCTGGGACTTGGAGTTTATTAAGAAGGAACACGGAAAAATTGCTGACAGACCTTATGCATGCTCATGACTCAGTCTGAATCCCTCTCTGAAATCTAAATCTCTCCAGATGTTGACCTCAGCTGGGGAGTGGGGATCTTCTACCCTGTTTGCACACACTCTCTCTTGTACTGTTGTGGATGCTGCTGTTGCTCAGACAGGGAAAGGGCACTGGGACAAGCTGAAGGAGGTGGAAATGCTGGGAGAGGGGCTTCACTAAGGGGGAGAGCTTTCTGAGCCTGGAACATATATCTGGCACCTTTAGTGGGGAATCAAGAGTTGGGAGACCCAGGCCAAGAAGTAGATTTCAGAGAAGAAACAAAGGGAATCTTGACCCTATTCACTTTTCCCACTTGGTGCTAGAGAATCAGGGCCATGTTGGTTCTGAGGATGGTCTGGAGTCTACCTAAATATCTGTTGTTCTTTTCCAGTTCTCTGCTGCTATCTGTTACATTCTTTCTACTGAACTCTCAAATTACCTTCCCACAAACAACCCCTAATATTTTAGAAAGAGATATTGGGCTGCCTAAAGGTCAGAGATGCATCATAAGAGTAGTGACAATGAGGGATGCTCAGGGACCTCGCTCTGCCCTTCTTTGAAGGGTCTCAGTTTGTCTAATGGACTGCACCTAGGTAGAAGAGTCGGGGATGAATCCAAGACTACCTACTGTTCCACCTTGCCTTCCCTACTGGTATCTGGCATTGACTATCCCCTTTGCTTGTCATTTCTCTCATCTAGGTGCTATTAGCATCCTAGCAAATGAATCTCACATTGAAGGTGGGGGAGGAGAGGAGAACTGGGTAAAAATAGTATATTTCGTTTAGAGGCTGGGTGTAAATCTGGAGGCCCTGTGGACAAACTAGAAGTTCTCGTTTTGAAATATAACAAACTTTCATCTGATTTTTAGTTATTTTTGGGCTTCTGAAAAATTACTTATTTTCAGCCCCCTTTCCTTCCCAAATCATCACTAACACAAAGGCCTCATGTGGTGAGACACCAAGAAAATCCAAATTTTATGCTTCATAAGGCTCTGAATAGTTTTCCCTCCTCCCATCACTTTAATACACCTATAATACTACAGAAGATGTCCCTTCCCAGAACACACTGGGAATTCTTAAGCTACTGGCCAAAGTACAGCTGCATGTCTAGGGTGTTAGAAAGGGGAATTATAATACGAAAATAGCACACATGTATTAAACCATTTGGCCTCATTTTGTGTTAGGAATGAATGTGTTTTGATCCATCTACCAACCAATGCAAGAAAATTGGAATTAGTTGGCCTTCCATTTGAGGCATGTCTCATCCCTATTGCTTTTATTGTTTGCTTTTCTTTTTAAAATAAGGTTTTGCATCTATGCCCAAGGCTGGCCTGTACCATGATCCTTTTTTTTTTTTTTTTTTTACTTTTTTTAGGTGTAAAAGCACCTAAC